AACCTTAAAAAATCTATTTCTGTCCCCACTCAATTATTTATATAATGAGTGTATTCACTACAGCACCTTTCCTGACGTTTTCAAAATAGCGAAAGTAATTCCTGTCCATAAAAAGGGGCCTACAGACGACCCATCGAACTATAGGCCAATATCATTAACATCTATTTTGGATAAAGTCTTTGAACGACTCTTAAAGAATCAAATAAACGAGTACTTTGAGTGTAATGATTTGTTTCATGACTGTCAGTATGGATTTCGTAACAACAGGTCTACCACCTCGGCAATTCACACTTTATCCCAAACAATTTTGTCAAATTTTGAGGACAGTAAAATAACAGATGGTAGTTTTTATGACCTGACAAAGGCGTTTGACTGTGTCAGTCATAACATCCTACTGAAAAAACTGTCTTATTATGGCTTTGAGAACTCGAGCATTTCTTTGGTGGAGTCATTTCTAACAAATAGACTTCAATATGTTTATCTTAATGGCAAGAATTCTGACAAAATGGCCATCAAGTATGGTGTCCCACAGGGATCCGTATTGGGACCTGTGCTGTTCCTTATATACATAAACGATTTGCCAAATAGTGATAATCACTGTAACTTTATTCTCTTCGCAGATGACACGACGTTATAAACACTGAAAATAATTACGATAGTTTGAAAGATAACGTTTTGATATCTCACCATAGTATCAGACAGTGGTTTAGTGCAAACAGATTATTCCTAAACAATGACAAAACATCGTCAGTTCTGTTCTCATTACGCTACGTGGGGGATGAGATGGCTAATTACACCCCTCAGGCCAAGTTTCTTGGGGTTTGTATTGACCAGAGGATGACTTGGGAGGCCCACGTCACTGAGCTTTCCAAGAAACTATCTAGAATCATTTTTCTTATAAGAAGTCTTTCCGATTCTGTCTCGACGGCAACTTTATTGACAGCCTACTACGCAGTTTTTCATTCTAATATGATTTACTCAATACTTAATTGGGGTTACTCCTGCCATGCAGAAAAAATTTTTAGTCTACAACGAAGGTGTATACGAATCATTGCCGGGCTTCAGTATAGAGCTGACTGTAGGAAGCAGTTTGTTAGATACGGCGTTCTCACTGTGCCTTGTGTATTTATTCTTGAATGCCTTGTTTTCATTAGAGAACATCTGATCAGTTTTGAGTCAAACAATTCATTTCATAAATATTCAACCAGGAATAAAAACCAAATCAGGCACAACTTTCTGCGATTGAACAGAGCTAGAAATGGGACAAATCATTATTGCATTAGATTTTATAACAAATTACCAGTCAATATCAAAAATCTATGCCCAATTCATTATAAAGGTGTCTTGAAAAACTTTCTTAAATTGAATGAATTTTATACACTTGATGAATTTTTAAATCATAATTTTGCTAATCTAATTTTAAATTGTAAGTCGAAATGTAATGTTTGTATTTTATAGTTGTCTGTACTTTATGTATTTTATGGTTGTTTTTATAATATGATGTGCTTCTCTTTGAATTGTATTTTAATTGTATGCTTTGGCCATGTTTTTCTTTGACGTGTGTAAACATTTTTCTTATGTAATAACACCAATAAATGCTTACTTACTTACTTACTTACTTACTTGCAACCTTTCTGCGACAATAACCCGATTTTCAAAAAATTGGTACTTATCCTCTTTCGTATTTCAACTCTTCAGAAGTATTACATTCTAAAAATTCGTATATTAGATGAATATCTGCAAATTCTTCATAGCTAAAATCCTCCCTGATATTGAATTAACAAATGGTGTCAAAATGATTTATGACAAATATCTAACTGCTGCATACTTATTGACAGTTATCTCAATTTCCAAGATTTTTAAAAAAAATGTTAATGTTAATTCGATTTTCTCAAAAACGGTATACCTCTTTTTAGCAAAGAGAAAGAGGAATCGAACTATGAAAGAAAAATACCAAATTTGGCAACGCTGTCAAAGATGTATAAATTTAAATGCATAATTTCGTATGCTGCTGTATAATCTAGGCATATTGAAAATCAGTTTAAACTTGGAACGAACATTATCATGAGTTCCTTCAATTATCCAAATTTCGTTGTTGTCATACTTAGAAGTTACATATAATTGGAATTTGTTTTTCAAACTTCTTTCTTTGATGGCGAATAACTTCACAACGAAGTCCGATAGGAAAACATTTTTTATGAAGTACTACAACTATTTTGACCTCCCCTGTATACCCCTTCATTTTTGACATGACCTTTCCGGACATAAACTGACTGTATATAAACGTGCGATACATTAAAATCAAATGTTGTACTCTTGAAGCAAGAAATTATCTTTTTGAGTGTACATATTTAGAATTTTTATTTTTTTTGTGGGTAATAAACAAGATACCTGCGACGGTTAAAAAAATATTTACTGTAATTATCTTTTTACTACAGATATAGGTCAAAGGAATAAATAGTATTAATTTTCAACATTTTATTACTCGAGAATTTATGGTACTTATTGTGAAAAACTTGGATTTTAATTAAAATATCTGTCTTGCTGTTGTGATGCACAAGTATATTATGAATCTTTAACATTAATTATTATTAACGAATATTTTTCATAGCTGATATAGGTGTTTTTAAAATTTTCCATGAATATTTAAATCTATTATCTAAATAAAGAAAATTTCCGTCTCCTCCCCATTTGCAATTTTGTTCCTGTCTACAGTAAACTTCTCGAGGAAAAATGGATGGCTATAATTTAAATATAATAAAATACTTTAATTTTTTAAAACCCAGTTTTGCCTGAACATTGGATATCATTTTTAAAATAAGGAAAGAAGAATATGTAGATGTCTTTTAGAATGGTTGTTCTGACCATACATTTTTGGGTCTCAATGATGTTTTCTGTTGATAACATACAGGGTATGGTGTTTTATATGTCAATGACTTTAGGGGTTGTTTTTTGGTTTATTTTAGACATTCTAAAGAAATATGAATTTACTTCATTAAAAATTTAGCAGTTTTTAAGTTATTGTTGTGTTGGATTTAAACAAAGCTTATTGAACAGTTGAATAAATTAAAATATCTTGGTTTGCAATGAAAATTTTTTTTCTTTTTTGAATAAAATTTTAAACGATCTTTTTTTCTTTTTTAAAAATCTATGCCCTCTTGGTATATTTTAGGTACTTCAAAGATTTCCACAGCACTAGGGCATTTAATATTTATATTATTTCTAACACATTGAACAAAATATGCCTTTTAAGTAATCACTAAATTATTGTGATCCTCCACTTTGCACAAAAAACTGTCTCAGTAATTGTAATCATATATAAAAATATATATTTTCGTATAATTCCACAAAAAAATATATAATACCCTTGTTGCAGTAGGATTTAAACATAATGTATTGCATCGTACAAGTTATATCTACTTCATTATTTTAATAGAATGTAGTATGCAGGGTGTTGTAAAAGTGTGAAATATATTAGGGGGCGGTTGCTGAAGTTATTTTGTAAAAAAAGTTCATATAAACGTAGGTCGAAATATGATGCTAACTGCAGGTATTTTGTTGCACGACTGCCACCCACAGAGGGCGTAACACAATATTTGAGTCGTCAGTGCCGCGAGAAACAACTACTTCGAGAGCTATTTGCCCCTACCGGCATTGAATTATACTCGCGACACCTAGTACAACAGCTAGGATCGTTTGTCAGTTTAACCCACCAGGCACAGACCGGTTTCGGACTTATTATTCCTCATCGGTGTGTCATAGGTGCGACAACCGACAAACGACCCAGCTGTTCTTCGTCGTATCATCACAAAGAGGAAGTATATTGTAAGCGGGAGCCAATGGCTCCATCTGTCGAGATACAATGTTTAAATTTTAATTTTTTATTTATTTTTGTTATTATTTCAGAGTTTTAAAGATATTGACCGGAAATTTGAAAAACGGTGGAGGGATAAATGTGCATTTTTTTCGGGTGATCCGAATATTTTTACTTGCACCAGTGGCGTTCGTACGAGAATACTACAACCTTTTGTTATTAAAAAAAATCGTACGCCATTGACTTTTTCCCATTTTGATATTTTTTAGAAATCCGCCATCAATTTTGAATGAAATTGGTCGCTTCATTTTTTTGTAGGATGCACCGTTTTTTGAGGAAAAAATAAAACATATTTTACTGCAACTTGTGTATTTTTAATTTCGGTTGATACATTATCTAGTAGGCTGCTGTCAATATTTCTAAGTAAAATACAACCATCAAATTTCGAGTTAATATCTTTAAAATTCTTTGACGTAATTAATAAAAATAAATAAAAAATTAATATTTAAACACTCCGTATCTCGGAAATGAAGCATATATCGACCTACGTTTATATGAACTTTTTTCACAAAATAACTTCGGCAGCCACCCCCTAAAATATTTCGCACCACAAACACCCTGTATATTGTGAAATATATTTACTAAAACATATTTTACTACAACACTTGAGATCTCTAATAAACATATTATGAAATAAACAAATAAATTATAACTTAATTTTACAAATCATAAAACATTTATTGTATTAAATTCATTGGTTTGTCAGTGCATCCTAGATTTAATGTCGATCTCTAGACGTAAATTATCAATGCTGATACAGAGAAGAGTTCGTAAAAATAACAAAATCTGTTTTTTAATGGTAGATGGATAATATTGAATATCTTTCCTTAATAATGATTGTCCATATTGTAAAAAATAAAGGTACTTTACTCTTGAGCAAAATTTACATTTTTCGACAAACCTCGTATACGACTGCAAAAAATTGAAATCTGATTACTTCATTTTGGGTTTTAGGCTATGCAGAACTTTTTATCAAGAATTTTTTTTTTCATAAAACCAATAATAAAAAAATTTCTCATATGGTGCCGACTTAATTGGACACACTGTATATCTAAATTATCTGATTCTAGTGGTTTAATTATCCCAGTTACAATACTCCATTTATTGTTAACAGTAACAGTCTCAATATAATATAAAAATTTGTAAAATGTATCTATTTTATTTAAAAAATATATCACATAGTTTTTATATAAACGCTAACAATTAATTGAACTAGATATCAATTTACAAGAAATTTCCTACCGGTAACAGTGTTAAATCTGTATTAGTAGCAGCTATTATAGCTCTCAAATAATCAAGTTCGTCTTGATGCATGTCCCAGCCATTCAACTGTCCTATTACCCTCAAATTGGGACAGTGTCCCATCAGTAGTTCCACAGAAGTAGCTGTGAGACACCTCGCACAAGAAAACCACAACTCTTCTAAGTTTTGGAAATTACACTCGGCACACAGTCTAAAAATATCTCCGTCCGTCATGTTTATCACACAACCCACAACCATCCTCTTTAAGAAAGGGGCGTTGGTTAGAATGTATCTCACAACATGGTCAGACATATCGCAATAAAGTAGTTCCACATTTTGTAAAGCCATGGAGTAGGTATTCAAGTTGGTGAAAGTTAGTTTCATTTGAAAACACTCGACAGTTTGTAGGTTGGGGACCAGCAGACAGATCTGTGACAAATCTAAAGAAAACTTTTTGTTGTGGTTTAGTTTTAACACTTGTAGCTGTGTTCCTGACACTTTCAGATAGTTGATCACTTCGTCCAAACTGGGTTTAATTAGTTTTAAACTATTCAGTTTCCGAAGTTGACTTAATTTTTCCATTACCCCACTCTCAGGAGTGTCCAAGTGAATGCTTTCTAGGTCCGGACACAACTTTATTATACTATCCATTGTTTCCAAAGTCGTTCTCGTGTCGTGTAAATACATCAATTTACTCCTGTATTTAGGATTTTTGTTGTAGATTAACCACAAAGCACTGCCAGTGTAGGAATACGTACGTATGGAGATTAAGTTGGGTAATTGTTCTATTATTTGAGCTACTAGTTCGTAACCACTAATTTCTTCTTGGCAAAGGTCTATCTTACCAAAATTGCCTATGTCAAGAACTCTTAAGGTATCACTCTTGAGTTTTCTTATACCTCCTACGGTGTAACAAGCTTCTCCACAAATATCCAACATTGTTAATTTTTTTAGGTTCAAAACTTCATCAATAATACTGTCATCTGCCATGTGAGGGATCGTTAAAGTCTTCAGATGCTTTAAACGTCTTATCATTTTGCACAACTGTTCTGGATAGTCACGCACCCAAACACCTTTCATATTTAATTGTTGTAACCTTTTTCCTTTATACGCTATGGTTTCTAGTATCTTGCGATAGTAGAACTGAGGGAATATACCAGTGTCAAGCTTCTTAACGTCCTCTCTTAGCAAAACTTCAAGGCAAGCATAACGGATACTAGCATCTAAGTTAACAGAATTTAAAATGATTTTCAATAGGTCTTGTAGCACCTCGTAGGTAGCAGCTAAGAAGTATTTTTCTACAACTTCATAGTACTTTCCTTCCTCGTCTGACAGCGCGTATATAAGCTGGTTGGATACGACCTTCAAACACAGGTAACTAAGCGGTAAAACTTGTACTTTGGGAGACATCATGGAGCAAAACAAAAATCAGCTGTTCAGCGCAACAATAACAAAGCAACTGTGATCACAACGCAGTGATTTTAATTTTTCAGGCACGGTGCCACGGCCAGCTTATTTTATTGGGTCTATAAATACTGAGTTGTACAGTTTGTTTCCGAAGTATTAAAAAACTATTTTCGCCTTGTTACGAGTATGTGTTGGATGCTGCGCATACGTATATACCTTTATATTTATAGATTGTCCGAGCGAACGCCTTAAAGACACTGGTAGGGCATGAATTTATCACCTCATTTCTCAAAACGTAAACGGGAACATGACAGAAACTTATTGTTTGTACAATTTTCTTGACTCGGACTTGTTTAGAAGATAAATTATATATAAAAAAAACTTTCTTCTGATTATGATACATGCGGTTTCTTAGTATAAAATTATAGGATGCTTAGAAAACAGCAGACATTCTTTTAGAACGGAGTATAAAGTATAGACGAAGTTCATCCAAAGTTCGCTTAATTAATACTTTTTTACCCACACCCCACTACGATGAAATCTGAATATCCTGTTGTAATAATCTTAGTAGCAGTATTTAAATTTGTAAGATACGTAAGAAGATACGGGGTGAGTGGATGATTAAATTTCAAAGATATTTTGCTAGTAATGGTTCTCCTAGATTTCTTCCTTAAATATTGAAGGTATAAAAAGTATATTTAAACATACCTAGTACATTTTTATTCTAGTATCTAATAGTATTTTTTCGACAACAGTTTCGAAATATTGTTAAAATGTTTATATAAGAACAGATTTTAGTATGCCATATATAAGCAATCATAGAAATCAGACCAATAGTCATTTGATTTTGGTCCTCATTTCTTTAATATCTGCCATGTTGAAATTCTATATATACAGGCTGTTACAGATTCGCTTGTCACTACAGGGATCTCGGAAATGGTAAGAGCTATGAAGTAGCTTAAATGGAGGCAAAGTTGCGTAATTAGGGGACCAACATTATGCCTCTAAAAAATCAAGGCTAACATGATCAGTTTTCGAAATATTTGAAAAAAAAACGACCGTTTTTGTTTCATTTCAGCCTTGTTTGAGGCGATATTGAAAAAAGAACAACACTTTTTCATGACCACTTTTTGCCCTCTATCGAATGGCATAATCAATTTTTGTATGTAACGTTTCGTCTCTCCAGGACCATCATCAACTGCATTTTTTTAAATACGACCTTGGAAATTTTGTAACCTTTTTTGAAAGCCTTCATGACCCCCAATACTGTACTACCTCAGCCCGAACCAGATTCAGACGTTTTGTCTGGAAAAATTCATCTTCAGTGTATTTGTTCCAAATTTATCTAAATTTTTTATTTAGATTTCTTTGTTTATTGAATTATCGTACACTGTAATTTATTTTTTGTATAAGGTCTTGACAGTTAACTTTCCAACATATAATCAATTTGTTCTATAAAAAGATTGTCGAACTGGTGCCCTACTTGAAACGTAAATGGGTTGGATATCGTCCAAAAGAATCTAGGATTTTGACCAAAGTAGAAATTAAATTAGGAACTCCTTATATAAAAATTTTTTATTGATTAAGATACCTAATTTACATTATCCTATATGAGAACACCTTTTTTCGGGTTATTTTAATAATGAAGATTCACAGGATATAGAGAACAGAAGAACCATTACTGCTTTAAGATTTAGAAGACAAATGTTGCGTGGTTATGATTAAAATTCCTGATTTCTGACATACGCAGAGGGCGTTTTACATTGACATTTCTAAATTGCACCTAAGAATTGTAGATTTTTTTTATTAGATATTGCAAGACAAATTGCTTCATGTTTCAAATTACTGCATTCGTATCTCTCTTTTGCAACAATTTTAGCTGATTCTGGAATAGGAACGTACATTGAAAAGTCTACTGAGAAAGTAGTTCGAGTTTGAAATAGAACATTCAGTAGTTCAGTCAGCATTGATACTTCATAATTCATAGAAAAACAAATTTTTGTATCATAATTGGAGCAGAACAGGATACGGTAAGAAAGTAATTTTCAAAATATCACGTACTTATGGTCTATCTAAAATCTAAAAAGAATTGAAAGACGATGTATATCATTTTTATTTAGAAATGAATTTTCAAATTATCACTTACTTACGGTCTATCTAAAATCTAAAAAGAATTGAAAGACGATGTATATCGTTTTTATTTAGAAATGAATATCAATAAGTAGTATTGTCAATTAACACAATATATTGCGTCTTCACTTTTATATCAAGGTTTTGTTTATGTTTCAGAGTATAAACATATCAAAATAGAAAAAAATTGCATAAACGTAATCGTATTGCAACTTTTAATTCAGTGTTTGTTACCACAGTCATTTTTAATATCGTTTTTGACAAATTTTCAGTAGAATATACAGAAAAAATAATTTGCTAATTCGCTTTTAATTATTTACTATTTGTAAGATTATGTTTTTCTTGAAAGGAGAAATTAAGGGTTAGAGGATGTTGGGAAATGTGGAAATCGGTAGTCCAATGCTGTGATGACATAGTAAATATTTGGTTACTCATTATGCAGTCATTTCAGTATATGTGTAACTAAAGGAAAATAAATATAAATACTTAAAACAAGTATCCTAATGATGGGTCGATCCTTCCTTAGTGAATGGTCACTAAATATGTCTGTAAATGATTTGAAAATATACATGATCACCCTTATCCAGTTAATAGATGTGTCTATGACTACATATTATATTAATGTACTCTGCTTTCTGTTTGTAAATATGTGTCCATTAAACACTAAATATGTGTAGGATATGATATAGCCTATACTCCGCGGTCGAAATTATAGAGAGTGACTCATCGCTAGCTTTTGGACTATTAAGGGGGATGAAGCGTGCCGGGAACGAAAATCTATTGGCGTGTCTGCGTAAAAGGCAGCAAGATATAGAAAATATTGAAAAAAGATAATAAAACATAACATCTAATATTTTTTTACAGATTGCTATAACCGGCACCTTGATCCATTTTAATTATTACAGCATTTTAAAACGTCCCAGTTGTGTTTTTTTAATTTATAAATTTATTATAGCAATGGAATTAGACCACTCGTCTACGCTTATGTTATGACGTTTCTCAGGACGACTAAATCAAGTCCGTTTACACCCACTAAAAAAAGAATTTCTCTATTCCCTACCGAGTGCAAAAGACAGAGATAGAATATAGATCGACGTTCAGTGTAACTCAGTCTATAGACGATTATAGATTCTATCGATGTGCGTAGTGACCGGCACAAAGATAAATAATATTGAACCGTTATAAATATCATTTTATATTCTATGCGCATTATAGTAATAGTGTATATATATTATGTCTTAGTCACTCTCTATAATTTCGACCGCGGTGTATAATCAATTCATCTCAGCTCTGATCATAGGATGCGCAGTAGTAGGTCTAGGCGGAGCCACCGTGAACGACATCCTCTGTGTCTGACTACATGACGCATTGTTAGGGCTCCTGGTTTAGTCACTGTTAACGTTCTTCTAACTGTAGGAGCAAAGATTGCACCATATCCTGAAACCAAGCTGCACTGCACAATCAGTATCATATGTGATATTAGTTATCAAACCGGATCTATGCATTTTCGTACTGTTTTTGATACCTATTCGAGATGCCGACTTGAGTTATACAATGGGAGTTGCAGTATGCTGGTATTGTGCTCCACCCGTTCTGTGGCTCCAATTATCCTACGCAATGCACAACAGGCAATTTCCCCGCTACTAATCCATCAGCATTAGGTGTTGAGCAAACTCACAGTGCATCCTACTTGATTACCGTGACACACACATCATAAGACACATACACGATAAAAGAGACTGTAACGTGAAATTTATTGATACTTTATTTATTCAGTAATTTAATGTTCCTCGTGTTAAATTGGTTGCCGTTCTTGGTTTGAGTTGACGTACTATCATTTCCAAGAAGAACTCTAGTGGAGTATGATTAAGATCAAGCCTCTACCGCCGTGTGTCGCGAGTGTCCGCGGGACGGCTTTGGTCACATTGTAGTATAACATACCCAGGGTTCGATCGAAAAAAAGAAAATATAGTTGTGGCCAAAAATATGTGATCGTCATAAGGAATACCTACGTTGTGTGTATATATTTTTATATTGACCGGAAGGCGCTGGTTACTAACTTTTTTAGGGGGGATGTTTGGTTTAATTTTATAAAACAAAAGCAGCGTAAATACACCTAACTTTATTATTTATGTACAACAATCTTCAAATTAAACAAGTGACGATAGAAAGAACAACAAAAACATTAACAACCATTTAACATAGAACGAGAGTGCCAGGCTCACCTAGAGCTCCTGTGGGGAAAGAGCATGGCAGAGAAACCCACGATCGTTGCTCTTACCACCCAAATATAAATACAAACCAACCGCTAACCAAAGGCATACATTCTAATGATAATTAAAACTGGACTTATTTAATTTCTCACTAAATGTCATCTCACTCAAATTAGACATACACACTTCCAAGTAAAACTGAAGAGGTTAGAATAATAATAATAACAACAACAATAATAACAACAATAACAATAATAATTATAATAATAGGTAAGGTACTGGAGTCCCATACGGGAGGCAATCCAGCTATGAGTTGAGATTTCGGAGAACAACAACAATAATAAATAATAATCAAGGGCGAAAATGTTAGTAAATTCAACAAAGCTCTTATATGTTTATGACATAAAGTGAGAACAAGAAATCGAAGAACAACGTAATCGTGATAAAACAAGTTAAAAGATTATATAATGAGCAATCTTTAATAATAATTGTAACAATTTTATCTTAGAAAAATATACTCCCCTGGGCGTAAGACAATGAAAGCTAAACATACAAAGAATTATTATCATGAAACATCTATAACCATCACAATCATAAGACACTTAATTTCCCACTACTTCTATATTTTTCACACTACACTGTCCGTCGATCGTCTTACTACCTATCTGCGCACTGTTCTCACTTCAACTGCCTA